CCATCCGCACTTCGATCAGAATTCGATCAAACTCCTGTCATTTTCAAAAACCGCTTTATGCCCAAAATTTTTTCACTGATATCCGGTCAACTTAATGTGTTCTAATAGCCATGATAGTCGTTTGCTCTAGCCGGGTCCGGAACATACTGTTTTAGGATTAGGGTGGGTTTACATGGCGTTCTGACTAAAAAAATTATATTTAAGAATAATTGGCTTACGCCCAAAAATTTTTTGTGCAAATGGTGTTTATTTAAATGTTCTAACATCCCACCAAGCCGTTTCCACCAGGAGGGTCCGGAACACCCCCATCCGCACTTCATCAGAATATATGACGTTCTCACAAAAAAAAAATATATTTCAATAAAATTGGCTTCCGCCCAAAATTTTTTTGTGAGAATCGTGTTATTTAACATGTTCTAACATCCCCACCAAGCCGTTTCCCCAGGGGGTCCGGATCACCCCACCCGCACTTCAATCAGAATTCGATCAAACACCTGTCATTTTTCAAAATCGCTTTATGCCCAAAATTTTTTAATGATATCCGGTCAACGTAATGTGTTCTAATAGCCCATGATAGTCGTTTGCTCGAGCGGGGTCCGGAACATACGTTTTTAGAGTTAGGGTGGGTTTATATGGCGTCCTCACAAAAAAAAATTATATTCAAAAAAATTGGCTTCCGCCAAAAATTTTTTTGTGAGAATCGTGTTTATTTAACATGTTTTAACATCCCACCAAGCCGTTTCTCCACCAGGGGGGTCCGGAACACCCCCACCCGCACTTCAATCAGAATTCGATCAAACACCTGTCATTTTTCAAAATCGCTTTATGCCCAAACTCTTTCTCTGGTATCCGGTCAACTTAACGTGTTCTAATAGCCCATGATAGTCGTTTGCTCGAGCGGGGTTCGGAACATACCTTTTTTGGTTAGGGTGGGTTTACATGGCGTTCAGACTAAAAAACTATATTTCAAAAAAAATTGGCTACGCCCAAATTTTTTTGTGCGAACCGTTGTTTATTTAGCATGTTCCAGCATCCCACCAAGCCGTTTTCCCCAGGGGGTCCGGAACACCCCCATCCGCACTTCGATCAGTATTCGATCAAACACCTGTCATTTTTCAAAATCGCTTTATGCCCAAAATTGTTTCACTGATATCGGATCAACTT